TTAACAAGGACATTGGCCTTTGGAATAGGTCGCCTTCCTATGTGGTAGATGTAGCAAATTTGCAGGAGTTTAAGGAAGGTTTGATAAATATTTGAATGATAAGGGCTGACTTTGTTGTTGTTTTTTGTGGATGTGACAGCCTAGATTGATCAATAAGTCCCTCGTTGTCCTTAAGTTTTATGTTATGCTACTTTCACACAATAATTAAGTCTTTGCTAAGTTTTCAGTACCTAAAGTACATAACATTTATGCTGTCCAACACTAAGCTCATCTTGCACATATTGGCCCCATTCATTATGACTTTTAAGGTTTTTAGAATGAGAGAATTATTCTCAACAGATTCAGCTCCACTGAGCATTACAGTATCATTAGCAAACTGTTAAAGAAGCTATAAAAGTTATTAGCTTAATTGACAAACAACAGAGATTCTAAAACAAAACCATTGAGGAATCTTGCTTGTTGCATTCTCCCAGTTAAAGAAATTACTTTACTTTCTGTCATTAAGCTAGTTTAGTAACCCACTTCTTAACTTTTCTATCTAGCCATAAAATCTCTTCACTAACTAATCTCATGAAAGATGCATTATCATAGACTTTCTGAAAGTCAAAATAAACAGTGTGAACTGGAATGCCCTAATGCAAAAAGGTACAGGCTCTAACAAACAAAATCGTCATTAAATTAGTAAGACAAGAAAACTTTTATCGAACAGTACTGATAATGTCAACTATCTAAATTATTTCTAAGAACAGATTTGAAGATGTGAATACTTCTTAACTTCTTGGTATGAATAGAAACACCTATAATTTTATGATCTGTAGCACCCAATTTCTCCTACACAACTAAATTTTTAACTGCATCCTCCTCAGTACAAAGAAGATGGTCTAGAATAGTTTTCTACCCAATTAGATATTTTCCATGTTTAGTGAAAAAACATAACCTCAAAACAAACTTTGACCTCATTTGATTTCTGTAAAATTAAAGACATCCCTACTAATAATAATAGTAAGCTATTTCTGTTGGTAAAGTCAGTTAAATGCTCTTCACTGTATGAGACATGGGTGCTTTGATTAGACACACCTGCTATATGGTTTGTTTTATTGCATTGCAAAAACTCAATTACTGGATGAAATAGTTTGAAACTTAAAAAGTACTTTCAACAGATTATGTAGCTTCTACAAATTATATATCTTATTTTCATATATGATATTTATTTGAATTTGCAGTTTTGAAATTTTTAAAGATTTCACTTTAAGAAACAATTAAAAATTTTCATATTTGTTGTAGATTTTAATTATTGACTTTTATTTTTTTTGACATTCTTTTAAGACTTTCCTATTTTGCTGTTGAGTTGAAAAATAACAAATGTAGTTTTATTTTTTTTATAATCACTTAGTTACATAAAAATAATTTTTTTTACCATAAAAAAATTATAAGCAAATCACTTTTTAAACATTGTTAACCTTAAGGTTTCATTTAATATATATAATGAGATTTAAACCCATTTTCTATTTATTTATAAACATATTTTTACCTTTATTTTGGTGGTGAAAACAGTTATTTAGGCCAATAACACCTAATGTAAGCAAGGCCTAACACAGTGGCCTTGCCTGCAAAATGATACTTGATACAGTTGAGTGCAAAAAATATTTATTTTTCTATCTTATTGCAAAATCATAGTTCAAATGGAGTATAAAATGATAAAGCAAACAAGCCTTTTTGCAACCTTTAAAAAATGAGAACAATAATTGTGGTTTGAGTTGTTCACAAACTCTTCTTAATGTAGCATAACATAATGTTTTGGGACAACATGGGATCTATTGGTTCATCTTGGCTGTTTCATCCTCTAAAATAAATTAAAATAATTAAAAAATAAATTAAAGCCAGCCCTTATCATTCATATACTTTTCAAGCTTTTTCTTAAGCTCACTTAAATTTACTGCCTCTACAACATCTGAAGGCAACCCATTCCAAAGGCCAACCATCCTGTTAGAAAAATGAAACTGTCTTTTTCATAGTACTTTAAAACCTAGTTATGAAAAAATTAGAAAAGAAGGCTTAATTTTACCATATGTTCCACATTTAACTACTAGTTTATTTAAAGTATTTAAAAAACAACAGGCATTCTTCCCTATATTTAAACTGATAAATAAGATGAATCAAATGTTAGGTACTATGAAAGACGAAATACTGTTAACTGAAAAAACTGGAATATATAAAATAGAATGTGAATGTATAAGTATTTATATTGGTTAGACAAAAAGTAATTTAAAATACCGTTTAAATGAGCATAAGGGATATGTAAGAAATAAAAAAACT